TATATGTATATGTATATGTATATGTATATGTATATGTATACGTATACGTATACGTATATGTATATGTATATGTATATGTATATGATTACGTATATGATATGTATATGTATATGTGTCTGTACATGTATGTGTATGTGTATGTGCATGTGTATGTCGATGTGTGTATGTGTATATGTGTGTATGTGTGTGTGTATGTCTATGTGTATGTGTTTGCGTATGTGTGCGTGTATGTGTATGTGGATGTGTATATGTATGTGTGTATGTACATACGTATGTATGCATGCATGTATGTATGTACGTATGTAGGTGTGTAGGTATGCAGGTATGTAGTCATGCATGCATGCATGTATGCCTGTACATATGTGGGTATGTAGGTATGTAAGTACGTATGCATGCAGATATACATGTTCATAACGCTAAATGACCGTATATACATCTCTCGCTGTCGCTCTCTCTCTCTCTCCCTTTCTCCCTTTTTCACTTTCTCCCTTGAACGCTAATTTCTCCCTTTCTCTCTTTCTCTCTTTCTTCGTCTCGCTCGCTCTCGCTCTCTTCAACCTAGCTCGGAACACCCGAGGGCTTATTTGTCCGATCGCGCAAGCCTCTCGAGGTGAGGGAGCCACCAACTATTCGTACGGCTTCCTCGGTGTGCCGGGGTCACAGGGCTTCCAGACAGGGCTTCCAGTGCACGCAGCCCTCATGGCCCGAAGGTCGGCTTAAGAGTTGAGGTGTGAGCGTGTGTGTGTGTGTGTGTGTCGCTACTGTGAATGACCATAAGATCCAGAGCGCCCACACAAGCCGCCTGACAGAAATGTCTGCAGGCAAGCAACAGCACTTGAAACCCTCTTTTCCATGGGGGTCTTGCATGCAGAGGAAAGCGTGGGTTGCTACTGCTGGCATGCATGCATCTCGAGAAGTGGATGTCTTGTATGATTGTGATAATGGCTGTCAGCGTACGGCTGCCATTCTTATCGCAGGTTTTGCCATGCCCACGTCTCAATCTCAACACACCACCACATACTCCTCTTCTCGTGCCGTTCTCGGGCTTTTTGTTCTAAACTCAACCACTTCCCAGGTCGTACTCTTGCCGTGTGGGATGTGAGGCTTACGAGCTTAGGATAGGATTCCGGTTTCAATGATGTGGGTCGAGGGCTGCGGAGTGCTCCAGACCACTCTCCGGCAGCGTGTTTCAGATGCATCCATCTTACCACAAGCTCGAATTTATTCTGTCGTCCAGAGGCTTGTTCTAGTCTTATTCAAGCTCTAGAATTTCGTGGGGGTACCTTCATTCATGTTGGTCCTGACCTTATTTGCTGCAGTGCTTTTGTACTCCAGGAAAGAAGCCCATCTGTCAGCAAAACTCGAGAATTGCAACACGGTTGATCACCGATAAAACTACATCCTTAAGAAGTGCTGCAACCCCAAACTCTGGGCTAAAGCCGAAACAAAGTATTACGTAAAGCAAATAAGCAAAAATCATCTCTGGGCCCGTGCTATCTATGTCAGTCAGTACTCTTAAACCCGAAGCCCTTGAGCCATCCGACGCAGAGCCGTTGTTCGACAGCCAGCTCTAAAACTCTGGGCCATGCCCGGGGATGGCCGAAGTGCTCTCGCCACAGGCACACACGGTGTTCGAGGAATCGGTCATCTAGGGTTTGTTTCAGGTTGGATCCACCCAATCCACTCGAAACCTGAAAACGAGGCGAGCTAGGTAAGGATCACGCAATCCTACCACACACACACACAAACACACTCTTACACCCACCCGCAAGCACACACAAACTTGTGAGTGTTTGCCGCAGGATGATGACAGCAACAGGCATGAACATAATAGTAAAAGAAGCATTCGTGTTGTGTAGAGAGACCAGAGTAGGACACTTAATCCTAAACCCGGAAAGACGATGCCTTCTCGAACAATCTTGCTTATGTGAGCAGCGAAGGCAAATCACACTAATCAAGACAGCACTTGCCCAGCCTTGGCGCAGGCGCGTTTGCTGCCGGGGTGTGTGGCTGCTGCTGCCCGGGCAGAGCGATGGCAGGCACTCCCTACAGTCAGAACCACGGGATCAAGATTGAATGGCCAATGTGGGTTGAGAGATGCTATTTGCGGGCTTGGTGGCGCTTTTCCGGGTGTTTTCCCGAGGTACATGTTGCGCCTACTCCTCGAGTTCTACTGCACTACAAGCATGTATGCAGGAACTCCGCAATGGTAGCTTGCAGTCGTAATTACTGGGCAGCACGGTGCGTCACAATGATTTGCCGGACTCTGTGCCCTCCAGACCCTCCCTGGAACACTTTGCTGCCCGACGGACAACGGAGCCATACGAAGCGGATCTCTGAGCTGTGGGTTGCAACATTGGCCTTCAAACCTCAGCCTGCACCTTGAGCCCTGAATACTGCAGCCCCGATGCGGCACAGGAGGCACTCCTGCTGCCCCGTCGCGGCAGACAAAGTTCACTCAAGGGTGTTGATGTTCACTCGACTTCGACACTAGTGGCTGGTGGCTGGAGCTTTCCGTCATGTCGGGCCTTCGGAGTTCTGGGCAGACTCGAGGAGTTTTGCAGGCTAGATCAGAGTGAAATTTGGGACTCGGGCTTCGTGTCATGACAGTGCCAGGGTTCAGGACCGAGGGCTCATGGTGAGGATTCGCATCGATGGCGTCTCTTTATGACCAGTTGCCCTTGCTGAGACCTCAACAAAGAACCCCGACAGCCAAAGGCCGACACAATTGCCAGGCAAAGCAGATCGTATCTGAGCTCTCACCCTGGGTCTTCGATTTTTTCGGGAGGTGCGGGGAGTGGAGGCGCGGTCCCACCCTGAGCATCGATTCCATTCTAGACCCCAGAGCCCCAAGCCCGGAAACCTTGCGGAGGCATCCCATCAAGTTCTTGCACACAGGATGCAGAACACTTCCTGCACGGCTTTACAGCTTTACTGAGGGCCCTCCCATAAAGTAAAGCCGCTTTCGCCGTTAAGATGCTCGGCCTTGTTCCGTCAATTTGACAATCCTGTACGCAGTCAGCCTGTATGAATGTCAGGCTTGCACGCAGAGCTGAACTCATGCTAAGCTCACTAAGCTCCCATCATCCTCCAAAACCGCGACAGCATCAAAGGTTCGAGGAGGGTCGGAAGGGTGTCCTGCAGCCCGGCGTAGTCGGGTACTCTGCAGCCATCGGCGCTTGTCCCTTGGCTGACAGGGCTTCCAGAGGAGGGTGTCTGTTTTCGGGGTTGTCGGAAGGGGATGAAGGTTCAGCATTTCACCTTTGTTGCGTTCACCCACTCCACTTCATAGTTCCAGGAGGCCCCGTCGAAGACCAGCCCCGCTGAAAAGCCATCGAGGTGCCAGGGGCAAAAACTGGGAATTAGCCTTGGTCTACCTCGGGGCACTGGTGCAAGCCACCCTGGAGGCCGGACCGCCTGGTTTCTTGCTCCGGGCCCCAGACTGCAGACCGAAACTTCGCATGAAAGAACGCATAGCCCCGTTCTGGAGGCAAACGAAGTCTCCTACAACACCGCCATCAGCGCTTGCGAGAAGGGAGCGCGCTGGGAGCAGGTGCCGTAGGTCATTTTGACCTTCTTGTTCGCTTGGATGGGCGGTGACGACTGCTGATGCAAGTTGGGTAAAAGCTGGTTCCTAGGTAAGCGGCTGCAGGTGGAGATGCAGTTCCATCTCCAGAAAGACAGGAAGAACAGCAACCTCTAAGGATGGATTCTAGGGTTGAGGGGGAAGGAAGATGGAAGGCCACACCACCGCTGCCAGGCTCTGGCCCTGTTTGCAGAAGCTCGCCAATCGCAGGTGAGAAAGGATGCACCTTGGTTGGAAGCAGGGGTCATTTTCGGACGGAGCGTCAGTTTCCTTTGAAAGTCCTCACCACAGGCCGCAAAAACTTTCACCTGTGGTACGAGCTTCTCGCTAGAAGTAATCCCCGTACACGGCTGCGACAGCTGAAAGAGAGTTCTTCTTTCCATACCATCTTCAGCTGTACGTACTCTTTTTTGTGTGTGTGATGCTTTGCATTGAGATCTCGAGAAGTGTCTATGCTGTGCAGCTTGACAAATCCGTGATGCTAAGTTGTAGCATGAAGGCTTCCCAAGTAGCTTGTAGATTGCAATCAATAGTGTATCGCCTCGTCACTTACTGAGGTGATCACCTTCAATGCTGCTATCAGTGCCTGCGAAAAGTGTGGGCAGTGGCAGCCCGCACTTGCCCTCCTGCGAGCACTTGCGGAGGCCTGGCGCTACGCATTGCGGGGTCGCAACATCCAAGGGGGATGAAGGCCAGGGGGAATTCTCACGTACAGAGCCCGTGTAAACAGAATCCTTCATCCTACCTTCATCCCACCTTTTGAGACCTCCGAAAAATGGCATGCCAAAGCTTCGAGTGCAGTCGCGGCTAATATGGTTCGGGTTAAGGATTGTGAAGTTTGTATCGAAGCCAGGGTTTGAGGTCAGCAAAGGATTCACGATGTGACTCGTGACGAGCGTCCTAAGCTTTGCAGGGGTGTTTTTGTAGTAAATCGTGGCGGGAAAAGCCTTGACATTCCCCCCCCAGGTTTGCAAAAATTGGTGTACCTCGAAACCGACCCAGCCCGACCTGAAGCCCGACCACCAGAACCCGAACCCCCTCGCCAATAAGAGTCTTGCAGAGGCTCACCTGGAGAGGACGACCATCGCCTTCAATGCCGCGCTCAGTGCCTGCGGGCGAGGCGGAGTTCTCTGACTTTCCCCCTAGAACTCATTGTCTTTTCATTTTGTTGCGGCACTTGTCCCGTGCAGGAAACGCCTGGCCTTCTGCGGTAGCGCTGCTGGAAGAGCTCCAGGCAAGAATCGGCAAGAAGTTCCGGAAGGGCTCCGAATGAATACCGGAATGCGAAAGTTGATGCACAAGGTGCAGCTGACCATGCACTGGCTCGAGCCTTTTTCCTTGAGCCTGTAGCAGCGACTTCGCGCAGTGTGGGAGTTTGGTGACCGGAGGACGACACGCAAACTCCGAGCGCAGCATGCCGGCGGGCAAGGCCGAGACGGATGTTACCCTCCAGGCTACAGAGGTAGGGAAGTCTCTGGCCAGAGACGAGTCTGAGGATGGCACTGATGGCACCGCGGCATCGGACCAGGTTTCTGAAGCAGATGTCGCCATTCAGCCCGGCGGGCCCGCACCGCTGCAAGATGGAGTTCGCCAAGCACTTGTAGGTACCCTGACAAGCCTGCAGCCGGTACGACCGGATCTGGTGCGGGGGACCCCTGCGTATGTGCCGCTGCGAAGAGGCGGGCGCATTCTCCGGGGCTTCGGTGTCGAGGACAAGGAAAGGTTGCACACCTTCAGCTTCTCCACCGAGAAGATTGCGCAATTCTGGAGCCACAGCTGGCATGGCACAACGTTGTCAAAGGTGCTGATGCTTCTTGTCCTGAACAACGGCATTCCAAGCATCTGCATGGGCACCCTCGGGGGCATCCTGGTTGTGTTGCTCTGGTGGACCGTTGGCCCATCGCAGGATCCAGCAGACCCTTTGGAGCTCATGCTTTGCACCGCTCTCTTCTCGGTGTTTTGCTGTGGTGTGACCTTGTTCTTCTGGCGCCCGCGTCACACAGTGTTCTTGGATCAGATCTGCATCCACCAAGCAGACGTGGCCAGAAAAACTGCGGGGTTGATCAGCATGCCGGCCATTCTCAAGTCCTGCGGCTCCATTGTGGTTTGTTGGGATTCAAGCTACATGCAAAGGGCATGGTGTGTCTGGGCTCAAGATTGTGCAACTTGTTGGTTTCAGAAGCCTATGAAGGCCCAGGCCGTGCAGAAATCTCCATCCTCGTGAGCCAAGCCCGAAGCTCTGCACTCCCTGCACCCAGTCTGGGGTGGAGTTTCCGAGAATCGGGAGGATCCTTAACAGAAGTGAGGATAAATTGGGCCGTTTTTCCTAGTTCAACGGAGCCCAGGTGTTTTCGAGATGGCTGCCTTCATCAAAGCGCATGAAGGCGATGCCAAGCTGCTGATCCGACCTACCTTCCAGGGACCCTGCAGCGTTGCCTTCCACGTAGGGGTGGCAGGTGTTCTTGTGGTGAACCTCTCTACATTCTATTTTGCGAACACCTTGGACATCTCCACAAACTCCATGCTGAGATTGGCCCTCATACTGCTGTCGATAACTAGTTTCATGTTTGCAGCGGTGGCTTCCTTTCGCAGGTACTACCTGTCAGTTCAGGAGATGCAGCTTCAATTGAGGAGCTTTGCCATTGAGGATACCTTGACGCATTGCTGCAGCCAGGATCACAAGGATGCATCGGGAAATCCGATTCCGATCTGCGACAAGCAAATAATCATTGACTGCATCGTCAATTGGTTCGGCTCGACGGACGCCTTCAATCAAAGGGTGCGGGAGAGAATGGTGGTTGCCCTTCTGCCGCAGTTGGGCCACTTCTCGTTCTCGTACTCTTGGATGGTGGCTTGCTCCATTCCAGTTTTGTGGGCTTATATGGCCAAGCCCTTTTATGCTGCATTCACTGGCGATTGGTCTTTCGTCACTGACCAGGTCTTGTTCATCATCGCTTGGTGGTTGGGGGCCTTTCCCATCCTAACCATGTGCGTCCTTGCGCTCTCGAACGTCCTTAGTAGAAATTACTCGCGGTACTTCAGCTTCCTGGTCAACTTGCTCGCTTCCTGGGTTGTCTTGCCCATCTACATAGGAATAGAGATGTGGATTGGCTTGGTGTCTTCCATGTTTTCGTTCCCGGTGGGTCAGGCCTTGTATGCCGGCTCTTTGGTAGCTGTCGCGCTGCTGCTAAGTCTTGTGATGTCACGCTGTCGGACTTCTGCAAAGAAATAGACCCAAGGTCTGTCTGGCAGAACAGTTTTTCAAGATAAGCTTAAATCTCTTCATCTGTGATGATAATGATTGAGTCTGGGATGTCGCCACTTCCCAGCAGCATATCAGATCTGATTGTGCTCCTTCGGCTGTGGAGGTGCCGGGACTTGTTGATGATTCTTCTGACGCTATTTTCGCGAGCTTTGCCGACCACCGCATATGCCTGCCAATGCAAAAAAAGTTGAGGTTCAGATGAACTGACGGAGGCTGTAAGACTGTAAGACTTTGGCTTGGGATCTTTGCAAGATCAAGATCCCTCTTTGGCTTCGCGAGGCAAGTCAGGTGCAAGCTTCCGAAGCCACCTACACGGCGGCCATCACGGCTTGCGAGCGCGGCGGCGAGTGGGAGCAGGCTCCATTGAGTCTCGGAGTCTACCCTTCGGCCCACCAAATTGCTCTTGGCTCGCAGCTCCAGATCAGGGCCCCGAAGCCCCGAAGTGAGGTGCTATGCACGTATCCGCACTCCGAAGCATCGCCGCGTGTCCAGGCCCTGGCAGCCTTCGAGACTCTCAGGGGTGAGGCCGCAGGGTTGTTAGGATTTGTCGGCTTGGGTTGTTTATGGTGCCCAGGATGTCGCCGCATCGTTCTTGTGGGCTGATACTCGAGTTTTCGCTTTTCTTCAACCCACCCCCCCACACCGGCACGGAGAGGCGCGGCTGCTGCCTGGAGCCGCGGTGTCCGCGGCTGCACGTGCGGAGCACTGGGAGGCCTCCGGTTTAGCGGAAAGGTCAGGGGGGGAGCTTGGGCTGATTTCGGATGCTTGTGTTCATGGCATAAGGTTTGTCGTGCATCGGGACTTTGGAATCTGCATCGTTTCGGGGGTGATAGGCTTCAAGATCTTCAAGGTTCCGGGGTTTTGCAGGGTCCAGGTCCAAGGTTTGGACAGTCTAGACAAGGGCTATGCTCGAATCCCTAAGCCACGCGGGTGGCGGGATTTCGGGTCGTTGGTTTGGGGATACATTGGTTCGGTCTCGCCATGCTTTTTTGCCGAATCCCTGGACAGGCGGCCATCCTCCTGCAGCGAAGCCGCAGGAAGGGTTGGCTCGCAGGCTTTTTTCCAGTTTAATCAAATCAGAGGCGAGCTCAGAGGCTCAAATTCATTGACTCTCCTGCTGGGGCACTGAGCCCCGAAGCCATTGAGACTAGAACCCGAAACCGAATCTTGGATTCCAAAGAGGCCCGAGATTCCTCGTTGCTGGAGTCGCTTGTGCGATCTGGAGTACGAAGGTTCGAAGAAGGACTGGCATCAGCCTTACAGCCGAACCTCATCTCCTACACCGCGGCCATTGGCGCCTGCGCCACGGCGTTGTACTGCCGTTGAGGTATGCAGGCTTTGTCTTCGGAAGGATAAGGATGGGCAGCGTCCCCGAAGCAGGGGTTGAAACCCGGTGTGGGTGTGGTTTTCGGGTTTCGAGAGCCCTCAAGTCCGAGGTGAAAGTGACGCCAAGGGGATCAAACGCCCACGGTGCAGCTCAAGAATCATCGCTGTCATGGCCAAGCCATCAGCATGAGCACCACCCTCACCATCAACACCAACACTGCTGCCCCCGCCGCCATCCTCCTCATCATCGTCATCATCATCCTCTTCCTATTCATCTTCATATTCATCTTGATCATCGTCAACGTCGTCCTCATCATCATCCGCATCGTGATCGCCATCATCACCATCATCATCCTCACCCTCGCCCCCACCCTCAGCCTCATCCTCTTCCTTATCTTCCTCCTCATCCTCATCTTCATCCTCATCATTCCGCATTCTCATCCCCACTCACCTCCTCACATCCTCACATCCTCACATCCTCATCCTCATCCTCCTCCGCAGGCTCATCCTCGTCATCCTTATCATCCTCATCATCATCATCATCCTCATTTTCCTCGTCCTCGTCCTCGCTCGTCCTCGTCGTTGTGCTCGTCATCGCCATCGTCGTCATCAAGCATCATCGTCGTCCTCCTCCTCCTCCTCTTCCTCCTCCTCCTCCTCATGATGATCCTCATTCTCAATATCATCATCATCTTCTTCTTTTCATCATCACCATCATCATCATCATCATCTTTTGTTACTTTTCTTCATCACCATCGTCGCCATCATCGTCATCATCATCATCATCATCACCATCGTCATTATCATTATCCTCATAGTTCTCGTCGTCGTCATCATCACCATCATCGCCCGAACACCATGCCCATGATGTCCATCGTCATCGTCGTCGTTGCCTTCATCGTTTTCATTGCTTTCATCATGCTCATGACTTTCATCGCTTTTTATCTCGAACAACACTGCCATCACTGCGAGAGATGCGCTTCAGCCTCGTACAGCATCACCGGAGCCTTCTGTCTGGCTCGTCTAGTCTAGACCTTACACCCCGACCTTTAGCCACCCAGCAATCCGGCAAGGTGAAAAGGGCAAGCACTGGGAGCTCGCCCTTGCCTACCTCACTTCGCTTCAAGATGCCACCCTTGAGGCCGCCGCAACAGCAGTCCTACTTCGTGCTCCTCATGCCACGCTGCGCTCAGTGCGCTTGTTGGGGCCCTGACACCCTCGCCTCGTGTGAATGAAGCCCTCCTTATGCGCCACAACAGACTGAAGCCCCAAGTCTTTTGCCGCCAGGCGAACGAGGTCTCCTACAATGCTGCCATCAGTGCTTGCGAGAAGGGTGAGCAATGGCAGCAGGCAGACGACTGCTTAAGGCTGCTTGTGCGACTCTACGACTCCTGAATCCCAACTGCTATCTGGGTGACGTTGTTTGTCTCCGGATACAGGCTTTCAGATATTCGATAACAGGACTTGCGAAGCCGGGTGAGTTCTGGGTTGCACTCCAGGTCTATAATGCCTTTGTCACGGGCATGTTTGTCTTCATTTCACTCTAGCGCACGGCATCCCAGGGTCCAAGGAATCGAGACTCTCTTCCCGAGCAAGCCGGAGCCCTGCAATCCAAAACCCAGCCACCACTTTCATTCCTACTGCCGTCGCTGCTGTGCCTCTGCTGCACTGTTGCCATCGCGGAGAACCATGTGGCATGAAGCGTAATCTTCGTCCCGTCGGCCAGCATTCGTGTATTCTTTCTTCGCGCGGTGGAGACTTTTGTAAAGTTTGTTAGAGCTGCTGCATTAATTCTGTCAGGGACTAATTGTGCTTTACACGACAGGGTTTGACAGTGTTTAGGCGAGCCGTTTGCTTGCACTGCCAGCTTACTGAGCTCGGGCTTTACAGGCTTGGCAGACAAGGGACAGCTACCTCAACTTCAAACCCACACCCGCCATTCCAAACAGACAGTTAGGTGAACACAGGCTGTCCTTGTCGCTGCAGGCCCTGGCACTGTTTGCCGAAGCACGGGTGTCGACTGTGCGCAAGGATGCATCTCGCCGGTAGTTCTAGCTTGTTTGCGGTTTCCTTTCCACCGTTTTCGCCAGCTGATCCTTGCAACCAATCTGGTAAGAATGTGGAGATAAATGAAACCCTCTAGAGGCTGCTTCATGAACCCGATGCGTCATGTGCGTAGATTCAAAATCTGATGCTTGAGTAGCGGGAGGCCGCGGGTAGAGGGCGGGTACAGAAAAGCTGTGAGGTCATCACCTTCAACGCCACTTTGAGTGCCTGCGAGAAGTGCGGGCAGTGGGAACCCGCTCTGGCGCTGCTGCAGGAGGTGGCGCAGGCCAGGCGGCCAGCTCCGCAGCCCACGATTCGACCATGCCTTCCATTTTGGGTGTGGGCACCTGCTTTTTTGGTGTTGTGGACACGTGCTGGCAACACTTGGGGTAGGGTTTCAACAGCGACCCAGACGGAGCTGGTCGCCAGACATCCTGCAATTCGAAGCCTCTCCCTCATCCTCAGACCCGAAACCGCCTGGGTCGCACAGGCCCGCCTGGAGAGAGGAACGATCGCCTACAACGCCGCCCTCAGCGCGTGCGGCCGAGGCTGTTCATCTCAAGACTTTGCGGTTCAGGGACGAGTTCCTTTGGTGTGGATGGACTAGGTAAATTTTATACCTGGTGCACATAAGATGCGGAGATATGCGGAGCATGGGAGCCGGTAGCGGAAGTAAGTCTCAAGGTATGTCGGATGAATCTTGTAAACGTTTGCACGATGCTTTTGAGGCGAAGCGTGGGAGCATGCCGTGGCGCTTTTGGCAGAGCTCCAGGCACCTGGTGGGGGGGGGGGGGGCTCTTTTTGAGGGCTTCATGTACTGTAGTCGTGTTGATAGGCTGTTGCTGTTGGGCAAAAGTTGTTCGATGAGGCGCCAGTGGTGTCCCCACTGTCGAACGTACACAGAAGCCTCGTCGGCACCAGGAATTCCTCCGAAGGACCAGAACTTGTGCCACACCTTGCAACGAGCTTCACGATGCTGAGCGCCGAATCGTCACAATCCGAGCCCTCCGCCAGTCAGTGCGTCTTATCCAGAAGCGCCCCCCAATGCAGAAATCCTACGCAGGCCAGCCGAGTGAGGGCTTCCGAAGTCACTTGCAATGCGGCCATCACCGCCTGCGAACGCGGCGGAGAGTGGCAGCAGGTGCCTTGCTCGGGGCCGGCGGAGGACGGGGTTTCAGTGACTGATGGTCTGATGGTGGTATGTGCCCCGAGCGGCGCAGCCCGGCCCCGAAACTGTCATCGACACCCGGAAAGGCTGTCGAATGGGTCAGGCGAAGCTCCCGGTTAGCAGCAGGCTAGTCAGTTTGACACACCTTGTCAGAAGCTGAAAGTATTACAGCAGTGGGAGTCCCAGCGGCAGGAGTCGTCGCCGTTGTCGATGTTTTGTCCTTGTCGTTGTTGGATTGTCGCGGTGGTGGCCGTGGTGGTGGTGGTGGTGGTGGTGGTGGTGGCGGTGGTGGTGGTGGTGGCGGTGGTGGTGGTGGTGGAGGTGGTGGTGGTGGTGGTGGTGGCGGCAGGGGTGGTGTTGTTGTTGTTGGTGGTGGTGGTGGTGGTGGTACAAGCGGAATCATCGTTTGTGTTGGCGTCATCGTCATCGCCGTCACAGCTGTCGTCTGCAAGCTGAGAGGCACTGGCGGCTTTTGCGGCTCTCCAAGTGGAGGCATCGGACAACAGTCTTTGGAGCAAAGGAGTTACAGCCGCCCGGGTTCCAACGACAGCCCCTCACCCCGAAACTAGAAATTGGCTGACCGTATAGGCTCTGAGCTCAAAATGGGGTGGGCCTAAACGCTTCACAGCCCTGATTACAATCACAGTGACGGCTGTGTGAGCGATCTGAAGGCCTTGCAGCCCACGCCTATTACCTACAGCGCAGCCATCAGTGCTTGCGAGGTCTCTGGGTGGGTGGGCAACCGGGCAGACGAGTTCTTGAGCCCTGGGGCCAGGGCCCTTACAACTTCGGGATGTCGGGCCGGGGCTTAGGCTTTTCGGTGTCGGACTGGGGTGTTGAGGCCGGGCTGGGCGCTTCTGTGTGAAGCGCCGTGCTATGGATCAGAAAGCCCGTGGTCTCCAATACTCGAATGGAAAGCACTACGGACAAACACAATCCTGCTCATTACCATCATCATCCTCATGATCGTGTACGCAGCAGTGACAGTTGTGGTCATCGTGGTCTTAATTCATCTGAGCTACAAGATTCGACATGGTGGCCTTGCACTGACTGTTGTTGCTGTACTGTGACGAGGGGTCTGTCGTCGTACTGGCGACACGCTAAGCCAACACCACAAAGCCATAAACCGGGTCCGATCTCCTGAACAGCTACGTAAAATAACTGTGTAACCATCACAGCATCGGTAGCGGCCATGGCAGTAACCAGATCAATAACAGCAACAACGACAACAAACCATTGAATAAGCGCGCGGACAGCAATGATAGAAATTTTTCGAGTTCTACATACTGCTGCAAGAAAGAAACAATGGCAACAGTGGCACTGTTGGACGGGCCGAGATGAGCCCCTGCGTTTCTGGGAGGTCGGCAAAGAGTGGGCGTGGGCGCTGGTGCTTTTGCGCGAGCAGCTCTGGCTTAAGGGGCGCGACATCAGCTTTCAGGGCTTTCAGCCTTATCAAAATCCATCCCGAAGGATATCACAGGAGTTGCGGCTGTTTGAGACAACCGATAAAGTGTCTTGAGCTTCGGGAAGGGTCAATCTGAGGGCTCTCTGAGAATCAAGGGGTCGAGGGGCTTGTGGCTTCGCACTCTTAGGTCCCTACAGTACCGTACCACTGCTACAGAGCTCAGAGTCTTTCATTCAGACCTACAGTAGCTGTCAACCTTTTTGGAAGCCTTTCTCTAGACGTCCCTACGTGGTGCTGACATGCTGCTTCCGCTTACTAAATCAAGATCCCGATGGGTCTGCCACAGAAGCGGAGACTAGGTGGGAGCGTTAGGACAGCTTTCATCCAATGATCGCGTAGCTGAGAAGCCCTGGCAAGTCCTTGTTGTTCCAATTTCGAACTTGTGGTTCTGAGCTCTAGCACAGTTTCATGCTCTGCTTGTGGTTGTGGTTTGACCTTGGAAGTGCGTCTGAACCCGTGAAGCTCTTCGGATTTTCGCTTCTTTCAGAACCAAGAAAGTGTGCACTGCCTTGCATCAGCACTGGCACCCAAAACATGCCGTAGTGTGAGGCGGAATGCCCCTTACACCAAGCAGCGTTCCTCGGTTTCAACCTAGGTTCCAGGTTGCTGGCCTAGAGCTCACCTTGCGGCCGTTCCGCGCTGCCCTGAGCGCCTGCGCACCTCGGGTGAAGGGGGTGAGTGGTGTGGGCTTTGGCGTTTAACCAAGTAGGTTGGAGGCCGTGGTTTGAAGGTCTGGTGTTTGTCCCGAAATTCCGGCATCCAAGCAGTGGTTCCAAGATGCTACGTCGAGACGAGGGTGAGGGGTCACGTGGTGCTTGATCGGCTGTTGGCTTAGTTTTGCAGGTCAGTCAAGCTATACATCCTCGACCAGAGCAAATACAACAACCGTTGGCCCTAAACGTGTGTATTCGGACCATAAATAGATTGACATTGAAGGGCCAAGAGGGCCGTCTTTGCAATCTTCCTCAAATTCGCCCTCTGCCATTCTGCCACATGTTCTGATTCAAATTTCACCGGGGGTCACCTTGAAGACGATTTCAACGTACAACACGCGACGGTCCAGACTGGTGGTTGTTGAGCAGCAGCATCCATGATTCAGCTGTTCAGATTGATTCTCAAGTTACCTGTTTTGCTGGTCCCTCGGTAAGGCAAAGGGAAGTGTGGCACCTAAGGTCCCACAAAAACCGGTCAGGGGGTTAGTTGGTAAGTCGCATGCACTAGCTGTACCAGTTAGAGCATCCCTTGACTTTCCAACGATTGCGTGAATCATTCTAAATTGCAAGCCTTGATGTACGAGGATCACGGGGAGGGCTTCTGCTAGCATACCAAACATGCTGTGTGAAGGGAACAGGGTTCAGGTCAAAGCAGCAGTGACCCCATACTCCCCATACTCCTGAAGTGTGATGATATGCAAGTAAGGAAAAGGGCGAGCAGTGGACGCAGGCGCTGGAGCTGTCACGAAGCGTCCAACAGTTCATTGAGATTTGCAGGAACTTTTGTGGTACCCTTTCGTCCTCAGAGAGCAGCAACAACACTCAAGACAACCTTCGGCAGCTTGCTCGACCCCCCCCAACAGCTAGGAGAGAACCCGAATCCGAGTAGTATGTGGAAGTAGGCCCCAAGAACCATTCAGATCATGGTTGCGGGCCGCGGGGATCATCCTTCTATAATCGTACAATAAATGGACCCTCTTGGTACACATACCGCAGCACGGAGCCTTGGGAGCTCAAGAAGGAGATAGGTTTGGTAGTAGCATATATACACCCAAGCCCTAGACCCGAACCACCAACACAGGGCCTTTGAGTCCATCGTGTCGACAAGCCCATCCATCGCACCACGCGGGACCCAAGAGAAGCGAAATTTCCATCTTTTGGAGTTTTGCTGGACCGGTGGGAATGCCTCCCTGAAGGAATGTTTGTTGTACGGGCATGTGTCTGCAAGCAGGGACCTGGAACGGCCCAATCGAATGGCTGATAAGTCTACGTAGGATGAACATCTTACGCTGTTCGTCCTCCACCAAGCTTTAAGCTCTCGCATCGACGAATGCAATCCCCCCATAGGATCTACTCGTACCGTTTTGCAAATTGCTTGCCCATCCCAGGCTGTGCCAGCTCGACAAGCTTCAGCTCGCCGGCAATGTGCCTCGTCATACACTGGTAGGTCGTCGGCGTGACCGTGTTCTTGTCGTGGTGGTTGCGGTGGAGTACCGGCCGTGGTGGTGGTGGTGGTGGTGGTGGTGGTGGCGGTGGTGGTCGTTCGTCGTCTTCTTCATCATCGTCTTCATTGGGTGAGAGGGACATGTGGCCACAGGTAGTGTCGACGGATTTAGGCTTTGGGTACATCCTTCTCAGCTTCTTCATACATTGGTCTGCGCTTAAGCGGACTACTTCAGTTCGCCAGTTGAGACCCAGAACGAATCCGTGAACCTTGACAAAACCCCAAGCTTTGTGGAGTTCTCGTGCGAGTGGAGGTGATCACATACAACGCTGCCATCAGCGCCTGCGGCAAGTGCGGCCGCTGGCGGGTGGCTCTGTCTTTGCTGGAGGACTGCGTGTTCCGTGTGTGGGTTTAAAGATACGGCAACGACCACTGGTGGTTCAGCAGACAGACCGATCATGATGATGATGATGATGATGTCATTCATGGTGATGATCTTAGTGAGGGTAAGCATGAAGTTAAAGGGGCAGATGATGAAGTCGAAGAGGGAGATGTCGTCGAAGATGATGCTGAAGGTGATGTTGGCGACAATAATAGCGACGGCAATCAGATGCCTGACATTGACCACGACGACGCGACGATGACGCGATGTTTTGTTTGTTGGGACTGCTGCTGATTGCAGCGATGGTGACGATTGCGTCACTGTATGCCTCCAAAGCTGCTTGCTGCTGGTGGTTTCGGGCACGGTGGTGGTAGTCGTTGCTGGCCTTCAGGTTCCAAAGTGTGAGCAATGCAGGACCGTTGCGGCACCGCCTGGCCGTGCAATGTCTGTGTTGGATTCTTGGGGTCACAGTCGGGTGCAGGAGTTGCGCAGCAGCGAGCTACAGGCGACGGAGGCGGACTTGGGCGTTCTGGGTCTTGAAGTATTGCATAGTGCAAGAGGGCAGTTATGGGAATCTGTGATGTGAAGGGTGTAGTGGGCTTGGCGACGTTTACATTGTGCTGAGCCTCCAGAACCCCTGAAGCCTCAAAGACAACGCCAGAGCAGACTAAACTCTTCGTCACCCAAAACGCATCTGCCTCGTGTGTCCTGAACACACAGCGCGCCATGAAACACCTCGTCCCTCGTTCGACGGAGCTCGCATTTGGAAGTCAGCTGGGAAAGCCTTCCTTCTGTTTTGGTGGGATTCTGCATTCTGTTCGTCAGGAGTTTCGAGATGTTTCAGCCTCGCGCCGTTTCAGGTCACCTACGGCGCAGCGGTGAGTGCCTGCGAGAAAGGGGGCCAGTGGGAGCGAGCTCTCCTGTGCCTGGGATGATCTGGAGTGGGACTTCGCCTGGATTGCATTGCGTTTCTCCGGGGTCCAATTTTGGAAGTGTGGGTTTGTGGCCGTTTGCATTCTCTGGGTTCACAGAACGGTGCGACTTGGGCCCGTCGAACCTCTCGTATGTCGCATCTGACCCAATTGGTCGCATGGCTACTTGAGATCTTGCTCGGCACGGCGGAAGGAAGTGCCGATAGTTCCTCGCAGTTCGTTCTGTATCTCAGTTTCCTACCCCGGCCGCACACTTGAAACTGTTCGTGCAGCAGCCGTCACTATCACGAATTTTCCAGAACGCCCTTTAGGGACAGGCGATCGATTTGGATCATGTGGGCCTCGTGGGGTTGCTTGGTCTTACATAGTTTCCCGGGCTTGTCTCCCCAGCCTAAGGCAAAGGACCCCATATCCTGATGCGGAGGTTGCTCCAGGACCTGGAAGAGGGCCAGTGCCGAGGGAACCTCAGCTCGCACATTTGTTGTGGACTAGGACATATACCAGGGAGAAGGGTGTTGATGGAGTTTCGTTTCTGCCGCTAGAGCATGCTAGAGCAGTTATTGTGGGTTTCGGCTTCACCTGTCGACATCGCGTGGGGGCTACAGTGATGATATGGGTGTGTTGCGATGGCTGCATTTCTGAGTGTATCGATCTTCCCAGCTCCCAACTTCACCGAGTGCACGGTAGAGGCGGTAGCGGAGATTGAAGGGACTGCTCAAGCTCCAGGAGTGCCATCACTTACAATGCGGCCATCAGCGCATGCGACCGCTGCGGGCGCTGGGAGCATGCGGTTTCCTCGGCTCGAACGGCTAATTTTCTTTGGGCTGCGGACGACTTGGGGCCGCTTCTCCAACAGAGTTACATACGGAGTGTGCTTGGGGGCTCAGGTCGCCGTGCATTCGTGGAGAGGGTGTGGGGAAACACCTGAATTGAAGTGCGGCTGGGGAGCGGGAGCCCGTCCCTTCGGCATCTTGCGGCATCCCAAGACGTGAAGTTCTGAAGCTGTTCCGGCTCCAATCTCCCCTCATCAGCGGTTCCGTTGGTGCTCCGTGCAACATGAAGCGACCAGCGGAAGAGGCGGCAGCAGAACCTGCCCAGGCGAAGCCAGCAGCCGCGAGTGTCTCAGCCACCAAGTACAGTCAAGCTTTTTAACTGTGCTGGTAGCTAAGAAGGAGGACCTGCAACATTTTGGTCTCATGTTGTTTTCCTCGTAATAAGGAATCCAGCATGTTAGGGCAGGTGCGGGGGCGTAATATGCTTTGAAGTAGAGGACCCGAAGCACGTGGCAGCAACCTCGAAGCTATGCCGTGGAACCAATGTGGAACCAGCCAGGTGCAGATGAAAGGCCTTCAGGTGCCTTCCACGTTCATGACAACGGAGGCCGTCCCTTCAAGGCAAGCGGGAACACGGTCGGAAGATGGGTTTTGGGTTGCCCGAAGTCGGGGTTCGGTTGGGGAGCAATGACTTAATGCTCAATGCCACGAGGCTCTGAGGCATGCTCTGAGGTCATTCTTCAGATGTCATTCTGCGTAAATGCCGACTACGTGATGCAACTCGCTCAGGCCTAGGGGTCTAGCAATTCGTAGTTCACTTGCTTCTCCTGTGGCGTGCGAGCGCGGTTCCGAGGCTTATCATTGCAGTGTGTGCTATCTATGGTTTGTAGCAGGATCAGGATCATCAGAAGCGTAGCTGGTTGGACAAGTGTCAGAATCTACTCGTATGAGTCGTTGGAGACCGCTAGTTCCGTTCCAATTGAGTTTGAGTTTAACGTTTCTGTGCTCCAAGTGTCTTGGTCTCAGAAACGGAAGCTCTCCGCATTCCTGAAAAATCTACGCGCGTCATTCCTTCGTCCAGGTCTTCGGAAGGTTTGTGAGGGTCTCCCTATAGTTCGGAGAAACTCCACCGCAGACCGAAAGAAAAAACGTCTACCTCTCTCCGCCCCTTCCCCAAGGTGGAAGTGCAGTGGCCGCCAGGTCCCAAAGCCGAGGTCCAGGCAGGAGATGCGGAGAAACTCCGAAACCCGAACAATTCGTTCAGGGCAGATTCTATAGCTGTCGGTCGTATTCAGGGGGTGTATAACCCACTGGATATCCGTTTGTCCTTCTAGGAATTCGTACGTGTCCTGAGAAACTCGCAGGTTTTCAAGAGCCTCCAGTATGATGGCGGTGAGCTGCCAAGCTACGAAGACAGGGCCTGTGTCTCTTTTTCTGCCGAGAGCGTCCTAGTCGGACGATGCCCCCAGCATGGTGCAGTCTTTGACGGGAACTCCATCTTGCTACACGTGGGGGGTCTGAAGTATGTGTTTATTGGAGTGGTCGTGTTCGCCTTTACGGCGAAGTCACGCATAACGGCGTATGTCTCACTTGTGGGAAACAGCGATGTACCCTACCCCTGGGCGATTGATGAGCAGGGATGGCGCTACCTGATGATCGAATCAGTCATTCTGAGCAGCAAGCTGTTTGAGAGCAGCGACGGTGACCCCTACGACGTTTACTACAACCGCGCCCAAATGACGGCAAGCATGCACACTGTGCCCTGCCGGAAGCCCAAGTTGCAGTTCCAAGGAATCACAGAGTTCTGGATCGGAGAGTCGCAGTACATGCTTACATATCGGCCGCACCCAGAAGTTTTCTTTGAGACTCGGGCTGGGCAGGGGGAGTTCTTTGTGGTGAAAGGTGATCCTGCGAACAAAATCAAGCTCTCCAAGGACGACTACGTGAAGTTAATGCACGACTTTGCAGATGAGATGGGCTTCGAGACTCTCAAGGCAGAGACCCTGCTTGAGCGGCACGACTGAAGGAGTGCAGAGCAGCGCAGAGCAGTGCAGAGCATGCGGCATCGTGGCATGGGCAAGGAAAAAGGTCACGAAGCATGGCATTCAGGTGGGTTTGATACCCTTGATCCCTGTAGCATCTTGTCCGAAATCCAGCGGAAGCCGGGGGGCCATTGTGAAGAAGTGCTCCCAAGTGCCGGAAGCCCCAAGCTTCGAAGCAGAATCCCCAACAGGAGTGTTAGGTGTTCGTTTCCAGCTTAGAGAGACCAGCCGCCGGCTCTCCCAATTATGCTTGATGTCGTTCATCGTATTTACTTCTCTCGCACAATTTTGCTACGATCACTGAGTCTGGCTACAGGGGTCTGCCCGAAGAAATAAATGCACAACAAGACCCTAAATTCTGGAAGCACTGTACCTAAGTCACTTCGTTCGCCCAGCTGACGATAGCTGCTGTCGAAGCACGAATCCCAGCGGACCATCGATCCATTCCTGCCGCTGCACTCCAGACTCCAAACCACCCACAATTTTGAACGATGAATCCGTACCGAAGCTCCCGTCCAACGAAGCAGAACGCCCGAGGCCTAGACGTGATTCCTTTCCTTGAAGAGGCATGAGCAGCTGAGGTTCTCCTCCTGGTTGGTTTGTCAGAGAGGCGACTAGAAAGGTCGGCAGCGAGTGGCCCGGCTTCTAGATCCGTGTTGCTGCAGAGTAGGCTAGCTGCCGTTCAAACTTCACTCTGTTTTTTCCATGTTTGATTGGCCTGCCTTGTTGTAAACGTGTGCAAGACCCTGTCCGGCGCCCTGACGCTTTCGATCATTGGGTGCTTCTTGGGTTGTGCTGTCATGTTTTGACCATGCCGGACGGATGGCTGTTCGGCAATCTGCATGTTGGCGAGTCTTGAAGTCACGAACAGCCTGTTTGGAAAGTGTGCAACTCGGACCGATAATCGCCATGTCTGACTTGTTGTTTTCAGCAGAGATGGGTTCTCAAGTTCGTTACAACAATGAATCTGACGTCTGCAGGTTTCAACGTCGCCATCTCTGCGTGCGCTCGTGGTGAGCGGCTAGACGGACTGCTGATTTCTGGCCACTCTAGGAGGGGATGAACAGCAGAGCGTTCCTTTTGCCAGGCTTTGTGTTTCGTCCGTTTGAGTGAGCACCTATTGTAGAAGCTTCTCATCGTACCAATGTTACTTGTGGAACGTATTGGTGCCGGTGATGTTGATGCAAGCTCGTATCATCCACACCGACAGCAGCAGCAACAACGATGCCAGCTACATCCAATTACCACTTGCCGCAGGCTCCTACTTGCTAGTTTATACTTCCTACCTACTGTTTACAAGTTACGACTTTCTAGTTGCTAGTTTCGTTTCGCTGCTGCTGCTGCTGCTGCTACTAGTACTAGTCCTATGACTTCTATGACGGCGACTGCTACTAGCACTGCTGCCACTACTACCGCTACTGCTGCTTCTCCTGCTGCTACTGCTACTACTGCTACTACTGCTACTACTGCTACTAGTGCAACTACTGCAACTACTGCAACTACTGCTACTACTGCTACTACGGCTACTACTGCTACTACTGCTACTACTGCTACTGCTGCTCTTTCGCCTACTCCTACTCCTACTCCTACTCCTACTCCTACTCCTGCTCCTCCTCCTACTCCTACTACTACAACTACAACAACTACTACTACTACTACTACTACTACTACTACTACTACTACTACTACTACTACTACTACTACTACTGCTCCTGCTATTACTCCTACTGCTAGTCCTAGTCCTACCTGCTACTGCTACTGCTACTACCACAACATGGAGGGTTTTTCGATACAACGTAACCACTGATTCGACGGCTGCGACTACCAGTTGCTCGTACTCGCGAAGCGCCAAGGCAATGGGAGCGAGCTCTGGAGCTGCTTCGGAGGCTCTCCAGGCCCGGGAAGCCTTCGTGTGACAAGTGACATATCGCAAGGGAAGGTGAAAGTCGCTGATCCCATGACCGTCCAAAATTCAGCAACCAATCGGGTGAGTCATTAGTTATGCATGCATGCATGAATGCATGTACACACATACTTGCTGACATACATGCCTACATACGTACATACATACATGCATACATAGGTATGTACGCGTGCATGCATGCATGCATGTATATATGTATATCTATCTGTCTATCGATCTATCGACCTATATATCAATCCATCCATGATGGCCATTGTTTTCGTGGTTTCTCTCTTCATCGTCCTCGTCAGAAGCTTCAGACAAGGACGGCAAAATCATAATCGTAGCCCCCCCTCCTCCTCCTCATCATCATCCTCATTATTCTGTTCATGTTTCTTGCATAGTTTTCGTGCCACGAACTCCTTCCTTGTCAGTGCCGGTGAGCATGTTGTTGTCATGTTCCTTCTGAGGTCATGGCATCACATCAGAGCGCTCGTTTTTCTTTGTGAATGTCCTGCAAGCAGGTGTGGTTTGGAACGGACGGCGATCTCTTACGGAGCGGCTATCACAGCCTGTGAGACAAGCAGGCTCAACCATTGTGTTTGGCGATTGTTAGGGCTTCGGATGATGCGCAGCCGCCAATCCCTAAGTCGAAGTGCTTAAGCGCAAATTGCAAGACAGAAGGTTCTTCACCTCAACAGGGCTATTCAAGATTGGCTTGGCGACAGGTTTCGATTCCCGAAGTCATGCTTGCAGTTTTGCACGGGCCTTCGGGAGCCCTTCGGGCCATGTGAAACCAGATCGAACTCTAAAACCTGCAGACGAGCCCTGGTGCGACTTCCCTCTCGCCTCCGGGCGAGAGGGATGGAACACCCTGCACAATTTTCAAAGCTACCTCCGAAACTCCAAGACTCCAAGCGGACACTCAGCTCGGAGCTTTCAAACCCTGGAGGCGGTGGCAGCGTGCGGTGGCCCTTTTTGTCGAATGCCAAAGCGAGATGCAGGCGCAGCTTGGAAGAACTGGCACTGGGATCTCTCCCCCCTCGGGCGACTTTACACAGCGAGCCTTCCGAGAATTGCTGCCGCTCTCCCAAGGACAATCATCGCCCGCAACGCCGCTGTCAGTGCTTGTGAAAAGGGCTCACATTGGCAGGGCGCCCTCCAGCTTCTCCGTGAGGCAGTCCGAAGCAACGTCTGGCTTTGTGGAGGAGTTCGGTCCAGAGGGTGCGAGGTGGCACAGGTGCAGCGCACTCCTAGTTGGTGAGGGGCGAAGTGGAGGGATTTTCGACTCCAATCAGACGAGAATGAACAAAACGAGTTGGACAGCCTTGCTAAGTGCTGTTTGTTTTGCCTCGAATTGTCGAGTTTCACCGGCAACTCCCCAGACAGCCTTTTCAGTGTGAGCCGGTGAGGGAGGGACCGTGGTCTGTGAGCCTTCGTGTTGCCGTCGTGGGCAGAACACAACTAATCAAGCCATGTGTCTGTTGTTCTCAAATATGATTCGTGCCTGTATCCCGTCATTGTTATCACAACCGCAAACCTGTCATCCTCAGCATCAGCATAAGCGCCAGCGCCATCACCGGCACCAACATCACCATCTTCCCATCGCCACCATCATCTCATCATCACAGTCTGTAGACACCACGGTCGGATGATTGAGTGGGCACCCGACGGATCCTGCCATGCAGGCCGAAGAGGGAACTCTCCAAGCAAATGCCATCACCTACAACTCTGCTTGCCTCTCGGCTGCACTTGGCTTCGAAGGTAATGTGATGGGCCTTACGGGATCAGCATCTAATCTGTCATAGAGTCATAGACCACGAATTATTTGGAAGTTTTGACCCGATCGGGTTCAGTCACAGATGTCGTTGTTCATGACAGGAGTCAGCTAGCAACTTTGGCCCAGGCGGGGCTCAGCCGAAATTGAGGCTGTAGAAGGTGGGATTCTGTCGTTGAACTCCGTAGTCGCACACTTCTCTGAGATTTGCGTTGCTGAGACGTCCCATTGAAAGCTTGCTTGCATGCATGTGTAGGTTGAAGCTTCTCATGATCGGCATGCTTTACGCCTTGCTCCATGCAGGCTTGAGTCCGACACTTCTATCCTCCAAGCAACAGCCTGTGAAAGGCTGAGCCCTTGCCTTTCAACATCCCTGAGAATTCCAGGATGTAGGGCTTATGGATTGCTGCGCCAAATGCCTACGAGGACGGCCCGAAACTAGCCAAAAGTCAGCTTGCAGGCTTCATTTAACTTACCTCAACCAAGCATCTCCCGGGCCAAGGCAGTGCTCTGGAGAAGGCTCGGCGATGGCAGCAAGCTTTGCAGCTCTTGGCCCAGCTACGGCAGCGTGGGCTTCAGGCCACCTCAGAGCCAGTGCATTGCAAGTGATAGAGGAACCGGAATCCCTGAAAGACCCGGAAAATCCAACCTCTTTGTCTGATCACAAAAGCCTCAGGAATCTATTCGTTCCACAATCGATCGTACCACGTCTAGACAGCAGCTGTAGTGTCACAGAAAACCAACACTGGGGAAGGCCACGCTCATCAGCTACTGTGCGGCCATCGGCGCGTGCGCCCAGGGTGAGAACTGGCAAGGCGCAATCGAGCTGCTTCTTGAGCTTCGCGAGGAGGCGGAGGCCGTGAGCATCTGTTGCGGGGTTTCAGGAAGCTTTCGAGGGCCTTTGGGGGGCACTCTCGAGGTACAGGACTTGAACACGTGCTACAGAAGTCAGGGCTAAAATAATTCCGTGAACGACTTCAGTTTGGGGTCGCATGACACCACACTGCAGCTACATAAGACCTGATTTCAGTGTGTTTGTGTGTGAATGCCTTCGGTTGCGGTTTCAAGTCTTCTTGATCTTGTCTTCTCGGGCCAGAGGCAGCATGTTTCACGATGCCACTACGAAGCCTTCAGTGTGGATCCGGTTTCTCGATGGTGGAGAGCTGACCTGCAGGGGCTTCGGGCCCTTTTGGCATGTCTTTCGTAGGCCCTTCCGATGGATTGTCACAGGAGGATTGTGACGTCAGTGTCTAAGCACCGCTGCTTGTTCAAGGATGCGCCCAAAGAAATGTCAGATAGAGC